CGTGAATATGCTCAGAAAAGGCCTATTCTATCATATTCACGGATTAAATTTTGTATTTACTTCTTAGTAAAGAAGTTAATACATTTTATAAAGTATAAACGTTTGATAACTTTAGATTTTATGCACCATAGCTTATTCCTAACCTTTATTAGTGCGGATCATAAAATCACGTGAAGGGAAAATCGATGGGTGGGTAAAATAAATTTGGTCTTCAATTTTGAACTGTATGGTGAGTGTGTATATTCAAACTAGTAGATTTGAATTAATACCAAAATGACCGAAACGCCTATAACAAAATTTCCGTATGAGGTAGTATACAAGATTTTTGAACTTTCTAGATTCTAGACATACGTTCCTAAAGTTTATTCATTAACATTAAAGCTTGATTCTTTGACGTGGCTCGACCCGGAACATTCTGTGAATCTTGAAGGCGTTTACTGCTACTGTGGACAGGATAAAGAATTGTAGATATAATAATTACATTATTTTTTTGTTTTGCATTTAATTAATTTCAATGATTTTAGGGATGAACCAATGCTAGAATGTGAAAAATGTCGCCAATTGTTTCATTCAAGTAAATCATCTATTCTTTTAATCGATTCTTTATTTATACGCATTAATTAATACATGAACAATTTATAAATAAATAACTAGGATGTGTTAATACTCTACCAAAACCTTTAATTGCCGGAGACACATTCTACGAGTTTCAATGTTCAGTTTGCAGACAGGGTCCACAAAAGTTTAAGCGTCTATCGATGAGCTGGTGGGTGTGTTCATACGATTCTCAATAATAGGATTTAGATCATAATAATTAATTATATTATTATCGTATTGTTAATTAATTAAAAAGGGTAATAATAGTTCAGCTCTCCCTATACAACCTACTAAAACGACATCCAGATCGAAAGTTTTTTCAGTGGAAAGATGAAATTTGCAAATTTATTGAAGGGTACTGGGACTATCTTGCTCCTTCGAAGACTAGTAGGTTCATTTAGCTCTTTGTGCGATAGGATAATTATTTTTTAATTTTAGTGTTCTGTATACATTTTTTTAATTTAGAGTATAGTACGTGGAACAACACCGTTGCAAGTGTTTTATCTATTCACACAGAATTTGTATCTGGATCTAGTATGATGCATCAAACAGGTATCGTGTTTTTTGTTCAATCGGGGCATTTTTTATGAAATTTGGATTAGTTCGTAGCGCATTATCTGTTTATAAGAAGATCAAGAGGGAATCTCTTTATTTACTAGATAATAGTAACAGTAATAATAATTTCTAGGTTGGTGGACTCTACGTGATAACGTACCACCCGAAAAGAGTAAGTCCTCGATATTTTATATACATTAATAAAGCAGCGACAACTTATGCGAGAAAATTGATTAATGCATTTATCGTATATTAAAGAAGACAGTTCAAAATCAAAATCTGCTACCAAAAAAATCGGCGCAGCCACGTCATCTAATTCATTAAAGAGGAAGCATGTACGTATATTATATATGCGGTTAAAGAAAATTATCTTTTCACTTGATTCTAATATTACCATTTCATCAGACAGGCGACAAAGATGATTTTTACTCGTTCTCAATACGGGATGTGAAACAAAAGGTAAACATATTTCTAAACAATTATCAATCATACGCACCTCAATCAAGAAACTTGTTCGATTCGAATACACATCTACTTTATTCTTCCCTTGCTGGATGATTGATGATAGCGAGAGGAATCAACCATGTCTTCTCTGGATATCACCGCAACCACTACCACCACCACCGTATTCAATAATACAATAATAACGGGTGTGCCTCCATCATCAAACTTTATCCCTGGACGAATAAATCCTGAAAAATTTCGAAAAGATATTGACAAAAGTTTGGAGCAAATGAATCCACAGAGTGTAGATTCTTGTGACCTAGAGAGAATTGTGTCGCGTTTATATTATTACTCGAAAGCAAATAATCGAAAAGATCATCAAAGTGATAATGACTACTTGATTGAGGTGTGTGAATCTCAGAAAAAAACATTGGTGATTACTAACTTTTTTTTTACTAAATTTACTTAATTCCCGATAATTTCCTTTCCAAGTTAGACATCGGAATCTCCACGCGAACATTTTTTGAAGGATCCTGGATCATCATCGTCACTATCATCACAAATTCAAAGTTCTTTATGCGATAATAAAACTACCAATCTCACTGTTGTTACTACTATGGGTGAAAAGGACTCGACACATGTGAAACCCGAGGAGGTTGATACAAACAAAGGACCACGATTACGACTGATAATCAAGTCGACAGATAATAAGACAGTAAGTTTCGAAATATTCGGTTTTTTAAGTTTATTTGTTGCATTTAGTAATTCATACTAACCCAATAATTCAAAGCACGATGGTTCTCTTGTGAAAGAGGTTTCCAGTATAATTGAGGATCCTGATAAGAGCGAAAAGCAAAATAAAAAGAAACGTAAAAAGCCATTTAAAAAGTTTATCATGCTGGATGAGCGGGAGGAATGGGAATTATTACAGAGACTTGATAATTCGCGGACTCCGTTGTCACCTAAAGCCGTGAGGTTTAGGAGAAAACTTCAATTAAGACGCGTAATTATATGACATTATTTTTCTGAAATGATTTTTCTTCTGTCTATCATAAGAGATTGATTGTATATGTATTTAATGGTTTTTGCGAAATGGATAGTTAAAACGTGGCTTGGGACTGCAAATCTTTGATTTAGATGATACGGTGACGCAACATCTCAAATCAAATGCTGAGCTAGAGCCGATCGCAACAACAGCATCAATTGATATAAAGAAGCAACCAAAGGTCGAGACTGATATTAAGGAAACAAAACTGGAAGCTGTAAATCAAGAGGGGGATAAAAAGATAGAAGATAATAGGGTCCTTGAAAAGGTAATTCACTGATAAAGGATATTTACTACTCTAGCTAGTAAGTACTTGAGTCTTCCCTTACCCCTAGCTAGTAATATTTAATCATTAGATGATCCAAGATGGACTCTAAATTTCTTTACAGTAATAAGCTGACAATAATCTGTAGAGAACCTAAATGACTCAAATGAATGTTCTCGGTACATATCATCCTTGCAAAATTATGTTTTAATTATCAGCTTTCTCACACACCGTATGAAAACTCGTTCGCATCACGACTATATGGCATTCCACGACTTGCAACCACCCTCACATCAAAAGAAACGTGGTCCAGTCCTTACCATGGCAGAAAATTGCGACCTTACATTTACAGAGATTATGAAATGAGGCCTTCGAAATTAAAATTATTAGAAGAGATAGTTTCTCATGCTCACAGGTAAGAACTATATAAATAGTTTCTTTCAATAAAGCTTTGAGCATTCTTAAACGTAATAAACTTCTCATTGAATGAATATATTGAATTTTTTCATTATGATATAGAAATGATAATGAATGGCAGCCTCCGCCATCAAGCCCCATAGATTTCTGCAACTTTCAAAAAACTCATCTCAAGCAAGTCAACGATTTACTGCAGAGATGCTTTTGGCCTGGAATTGATGGTATTAAATTGTGCTTTTTGAAATTAATAATTACGACATTGCTTTAATATTTTATTGAACCTTTTTTTTAGTTACCGAAAATTTATTGTTTCCGGATTATAGCGTCGTTGCGTTGTATAAACGCTTGGTAGTTGGCTGTGCGTTTATGACCCCGGAATCTTACATTACATATGTTGCCGTTGCGTCAGGTTGGCAAAAATCTGGCATAGGAAAGTGAGTATTACTATATAATAAATAGTTTCATATGGAGTTTTTTATTACATTAATCTTATTCTGGACTAATAATGAATACACTTTGTTTTAGATTTATGCTTTATCACATTATTCAGGTAGAATAAACCTTTATAATCTTTCTTTTGTTACAACTTTTTTGAATCGCATACTAACTAAATAGATTTTCTCATAGAACAATAGTGGGAAAGATATTACACTACATGTCTCCGCCAATAATCCTGCTATGGCAAGTACTTTGATCTAAAAAAAAACACTTGGTCTTTTGAAGAACTTTTTCTTTAGATATAGTACACTAAATTATATATTATTATTTTCACACAGATCATTTATCAAAAATTAGGTTTCAAACCTGAGGAATTTATTGTTAATTTCTATGACAAGTATCTTCCGCCGGGTAGTTTTGAATGCAAGAATGCCTTTTTTGTGCGATTACGACAATGATAGTAATCGCGAAACAAACTGACTTTTTAAGTATTTTTTTTTAATTAATTTAATAATAATCTGTATTACTAAATTACTTTCTTTGATCTTTTATTCTTAATTCAAAGCAAGGATCTTCAATTATGAATGTTTAGCTTTATATAACAAATTATTTAAGTAAAATAAAAATGGCAATTTTATATCAAAAAATATGCAAAGTATTTATGAAATTTTAAGTTTTTTTTTATTTTATAGATTATTTTCAAACATTTGTCTGGAAATAATTTTTTGTATTTTAAAATATTATTATTATATTATTTTGCTTTATTATTAAACTAAAATTTTATTTAGGTTTGATAAATTCAAAATTCAAAAAATTAATGTAATTTTAACAAAATATTTATAAACTAATTTATTAAAGTTTATCAATTTTAAATATTCATATTAAAATTAAATGTTATTTTTTTATTTAATCTATCTGAAAATTTTATTAATAAATAATAAATTAAATTTTACTAATTTTAGCTATTATATACAATCAAACCTCTTTATAATTATGCACATTTATAGTCATATTTCTTTATAATCCTATTATTTGCTTTTTTATTTATATATAAATATAGTAAAAAAATTCTATAGTTATATTATCTTTATAGTCACCAAATTTTGCTTTTCTGAGAGTGATGACTATATAGAGTTTGATTATATTAAGAAAGTTTTACTTAATATAATTTGATAATATAATAAAAAATATCAAAAAATTTAAAAATTAAATTTTATTATTTTAAAATATCAAATTTTTATTGAACAATTATTACTTTTATTTAATTGAATAATATTGTTTTAATATGACTTTAAGTTCTATCATGAGAGTACACGTAATAGAGTCAAATGAGAGAGTTGACATATTAAATAACTTTAAGTTGGGAGAGTTTACTAAGTTATCTAAAGGTAGGTAACATATGTTCATTTTGTTGATCAGCTAGAATAAGACCAGAAAGATTCAAAGGTAATTGTATATTTTTTATAATTCAATTTATAATAAGTTGAATGTTTCTTTTAAGTTTAGTTTATAAACAAGTAAAATATAATTTTCTTTTATTAATTCAATATTATTATTGACTTTACAATATAGACGAGAGGTCAAATACAAAATTGTATAACTTTGCAATAGTGACGAAAGGTTATAAAACAAATACAAGAATAACTTCGCAATTAAGATGAGAGATTATAAAAATATTATCTAAAGGATTATTAAAAGAATATAAAACTAAGAACTCGTTATTTTTCTAAGCTAAGATACAAGCTATATTTATAAGTGTTTGATAATTATAAAATGATCATTTGGAATGATCATTCAGAGCGTTTGAAATGATCATTTGCAATGATTATTCAGAGTGCTTGAGATAATCAGTTGGAATAATCATTTGGAAGGATCATTCGAAGTGATCATGTAAAGTGATTATGTGAGATGATTATGTGAAGTGATCATGTGAGATGATCATTTGTAATTATGAAAATATCTAATTACAACAATATTTTATTATATTTTATTGAATAATAATATTTATTGAATAAGTTATTTTTAGAAAAATACTAAAACAAGATAATGAATTAAAAATTAAATTAACTCAAATAATTTTATAGTTATTCAAATTAATTTAATATATATAACTTATATTTGTAATACATTCAATAATTGGTTAAATTTTGTATAATATTATTAATATTAAAACAAAAATCTTGATTTGGCAAAATTCTGATTGTAATAAAAAGAAGTGCTAAATATTTACTAATAATATTATTGGTATGAAATCAAATTAAAAATTAAAGATAGTTATCTAAATTATTTTTGAAAAAAATAATATTTTAGCAAGCAATTCAGTTTTGTTATATTGCTTATATTAATAAATGCTTAAAAATTATCTAGAAATGCTTGCTTTAGTTTGTAGAATTCAAATAATTTCAGAAAATATTTTAGTTACTAATAAAATTAATCAAAATAATTTTAGATTTAATTTCAACAAATTAATTTTAGTAAATTATTTAATTAAATAATATTATTTCAGAAATTATTCTTATTACAATGTAAAAAAATTTACAATATCATTAAAATGAACATGATAATTAAATTTCTAATAACAAATAGCTTATATATTCAATTTTATATTGAGTTTTTTGAATATGAATATTTAGTATTTCTTTTCATTGATAAATATCTAATTTCTTTATTTTATTTAAAGATAGATCCTGAAATTAATGATATAATTTAGGAATATAATCAAAACTAATTTAGAAATATAATTAAAACTATTTTAGATTATATTTATATCACATCCAGATAATTTAAAAATTCATTTTTAATTTTGTTGGTATTGTTACAAGTTTTAATTAATTTTTAGTTTGGTTTCTATACGATATTATTGAATATTTATATTTTTGAAACACATAATCAAATCTTTGCAATTTATAATTCTATAATTAAAGTGAATATTTTTGTATTTAAATTAATACAATTAAAATAATATTAATAAAATTATTAATATACAAAGTTGATATATGAAAAATTATAAAATACCAAATGGATCATAAGGTAACAATATTTTATTAATCTATTTTTGAAATTTTACAAATTTAAATTTGTTTGATTTATCTGATCAAGATGAATATTTTGTATTTAGATCTTGAATATTGTAATAAATATAAGCATTCAAAGCTAACTAATTTTTCTTGGTATTTTTTTTGAGATTGTTGATATTGACTAGAATTAATAAAAGATTTCTAGGTGTTCAGTTTCTTTATATTAATTTTATAATGATCAGATTCAGTGAATTTTTTGGTGAATATTTGATGATTTTTATTAATATTTCAGATGAAATAAGAGTCTTTAAATGAAAATGATCTTGAAAAATTAATTTTAACAATATTAACAATTAAATAAAAATTTTTAATTGGTCAATTTATTTTTGTTGTTAATTAGAAATATTATAAAATTGCTTGTTAACTTTTTAGTATGAATTTATTCAAAAAATGTTAAATCTCATTATTACTAATAAATCAATACTAGTATTTTTATTGAATAATTATTTGTTGATCAAAATTATTTAGCTAATTATTATTTATCATATGAAATTTTTATATGATTTGAATTTGGATCAAATTCTATATTATATGATACTATTTGACTTTAATATACACTTATTTTTAAAATATTGATTTCAAATATTAATTCAATTATTAATTCAAATATTGATTTGAATATTTATTCAAAATTAATTGCAATATCAATTTATTTATTAATTCTATTAGTAATTTAGTATTAATTATTTATAAAATAATCATATATTATAATATAAAAAATTATCAAGTTCTTTAATCAAGTTTTTTAATTAAATTCTTTAATAATTTAACTTTTGATAATTGAATTTTTGATTATCAAGCTCTTTGAAAAAGTTAATAAACAAATACAATTTTTTTAATTATTTTAATTAGATATTATTTAGATTTGTTTTATAATAAATTAATTTTTGTTAGTTTATCTTAATTATAAAGTTATATTATTAGTTTATAATTTTAATTGCAAAGTTATTGATTTAAGACTTTTTAATATTTTTCTTGTTTATAAATTATTCATATAATTGTATTTATCTTTGTTAAAAAAGATTTCTGAGCTATTATACAAAACAAATATATATTATTTATCTTTAATAATTTAGTTATCATTGTATTATCTCTCTCCTGTCTGACTGAAGTCAAGTGAGACATGTCATATACTTGAAAGTTATAAAATGGTAACACTATTGACTGTTAAAAAATTCACAAAGAAATATATTTTATTATATGTCATTAAAAACTTTGAAACAAATAACTCTAATAACAAGAATGGGCACGAGAATGATTGTTCTTGATTTATTTTCTCTCTAAATCAATAAATAAATAAATAATTAAAAGTTACTGTTTATGTACAACGTGTCCCACCTCTTCTTTTTCTCTACCACGAACAAATGGGGGCTCAGATCCTTCAACAAATATATACGTATATAATTCTGTTTCGTCTGGGAATGGATCATTGTGCGCGAGTTTTACTGCTTCATCGATGGTTGCGCGAGCGTCTTTATCAATTTGCTATATAATATATAATTAATTATTGATTTTAATTCACTTCTTATCATTATATAAAGAAAATTAAATAATACCTTTGTTTCTGATTCAGTTAAGAAATCCAGATCCAATAAACGTTGCTTTAATCCCGTTATCGGATCATTCGTACTTCTCATGTGCTGTATTTCTTCTCTGGTACGATAACTTGTACCTGGATCTGACATTGAATGACCACCGTAACGATAAGTGACCATTTCCAAGACTAGAGGTCCTTTATCACTGAGAACCCAATCTTTAGCCCAGCTACATGCTTGACGAACAGCAAGTATATCCATCCCATTTACCTAATTGGTAAAATAAGTAAGTTTGTTAATTATCATCAGAAATTAATCAGAAAAAAAAACATCCAAGAACCGTTCTTACTCGGAGACCAGGAATATACTGGCCACGTGCAAAATAGTTTGTATCCGCTGAACTTCGACTTGCTGAAGTACCCATTCCATAATGATTATTCTCGCATACATATATTGCAGGAAGATTCCATAATTTTGATATGTTATAAGCTTCAAAAACTTGTCCTTGATTCGCAGCACCATCACCATATAAAATATATGTGGCCTGTTTTGTATTTAGATATTGTTGTGCGAATGCTATACCAGCACCAACGGGAACCTATTAAATAAAATATTCGTCAATTAAAATAAACGAATAAGATTCTAGGGAAAAGTCTTGCATCAATAAAAGGATTGATGTATTACCTGTGCACCAACGATACCATTACCACCATAAAAGTTTTTACTAAACATATGCATAGATCCACCTTTACCTTTCGAAACACCGGTTTTTTTAGCTGTAATTAATAATAAAATACGGTTAAGCTTCGGAGAATCATGAAAATACATAATGATGTTAGAGAAAACGCTAACTCGCCCATCAATTCAGCCAATATGGCATGGGGAGTTTGCCCGCGAACCAGAGTAAAACCGTGACAACGGTATGCCGTGATGACATGATCATCTGGTGTAATTGCAGCTTCCATGCCAACGGCAACAGCTTCCTTTTAAAAATTCATAAAATACTATCAATATAAAATTGCCATCGAGATGCCATTGAGCGATTAAAAACAAAATTTCGCACCTGGCCTGTACACAAGTGACAAAACCCTCGAATGTGTTTTGACTTATATAGCCCGTCCGCGGTCGTTTCCAATCGCCGCATAAGAACCATTTGTTTGTACATATTAATCGTTTCTTCTTTGTTAACTTTTATATCGTGTGACGGTGGGTCGCATTCGTATGTTTGAAAAGAACCCTCAGGAAGAGTGTAATTTACAGTTTCGGAGGCAGCGGGCGCGCTTGAAGAGAAAAGACGAGCTCGTAATTGTGAGCTTCTCGAAAGCAAAGATATGCTACGCGATAACATCGATAAACGAGGATTAACTAACATTTTAGCAGGTAACGGTAATATAAAATTATATTCTTTCACGTCATTTTTATTAGATCAATCGAAAGCGCGTGATTGTGGTTGCTTTAAGTTACAAAATATATTATTACACATGATAATGTTACACAGAGGAAGGTTGGTCTATATAGTTCTCTAGTTTCAGATCGATCATATCGTCTCGTCCCACCCCTACGCCAATCCATTCGACTATTACCATAACATAATAATTAACAATTAGATCACCAGTTTCAATTTCATTGACTTTAAATAAAATAGAGTACGAAAATTTTGCTTCTTTAAACTTACCAGGAACGTTTAAATATTCTTCAATCATTTTGACATAACGTTGCGCATTGACTGGCAAATCCTTGAAATATCTGCATTTAGAAATATCAGTGTTCCAACTTGATAAAGTCTCATAATGCACAGTGATCTTTTCTAGTTCATCGAGATCAGCTATATATAAAATATGAGTGAAGGCACCAGAATTAGCGTATATCTAGATCATAATTTAAATTATTAAAAGTTCGAAGCAAAATCCAGTAAAGATTACCTGGAAAACTTTCTAGTGGTTCACCATTTAGTAGATATGCAGTTGCTACCTTAATTTCGGGCAAATTTGTCAGGACATCAAGCTTGGTCAAATTAATACTATATAACAAATAGATTCATTAGATTTGTTTAAAATGTATTTTTATAATATTGCTTACCTTGTGTAACCATTTATTAGAGTCGAGTATTTTAGAAGGACGAGATCAAGCCACCCACAACGCCGTTTACGCCCAGTTGTGGTGCCAAATTCAGCACCTGCGTGTTGCAAGTGATCACCAGTCGCCTTCAAATTTACAAATTATACGTGTCACTATCAAGATTTAAAAAGAAAATAATGCTATTGAATTCATTGAATTATAATGTATACAAACGTCAAGCAATTCTGTAGGAAACGGTCCACTACCGACCCTCGTCGTGTAAGCTTTCACCACACCGATCACCTTTTCGATCTTACTTGGCGGGATTCCTAGCCCCGTGAGCACTCCTCCGATCGCAGTATTGGAACTAGTTACGAAAGGGTAAGTGCCAAAGTCGAGATCGAGCATCAACGCATTGGCTCCCTCAACAAGGACCTTTTGACGCGCGTTAATATTTTTGTGCATGTATAACACGCTGTCGATTATGAAAGGTTTTAGCCGGATAGCGTATTGCTTTATTATCATGTAGAATGTTAATAAGAATTTTTTATGGAAACTTTCAGATATTGTGTTTTTGTATTAGGTGTTAATATAAATAATAATACCTTATAGCGCCCGATCTCAGCCTCGACATCATATTCAAAGTTACCATATCGTTTTCGCCTATTTTCCACTAACCTTCGAAATTTCTGCTCGAAAGTTTGAAGATTCGATAAATGGTGAACTCTTAGACCAGAGCGGGAGGCCTTTGACGAGTATGCCGGCCCAATCCCTTTCTTTGTTGTACCAATGCTACAAAAATATAAAATTTACGGCACATTGAGTATGCTTTCTTTTTGTTTGTTTAAATACAAGATTCAAGGCTAATTTTTCTGTCCAAAAAAAAATAATTCAAAAGTACACCTTGAATTACCAAGCTCAACTTCTTTCAGACCATCAACAATCTGGTGGAAATCAAACACTAAATGTGCACGATCTGACACAAGTATCCTTCCATCAGTTTGGAGACCTTTATGATAAACGTATTCAAAATGATTCTTTTATTCTTTCATTTTGATTCACGTATAAATTAATTAGATTTACCCCTTGACTCCAAATCCTCAATTTCAGCAAAAAAAGATGGTAAATGAACTACGACTCCTGAGCCAATTATTGAAGTACACTTTGGATTAATCAACCCTACATTATAAAAAAGAGGTTGTAAATACAAAATTTAGAAGTAAAGAAGTAAAAAAAAAAGCACGTTATTGTCTTCAATAAAGAGTTGTTGACCATTACCAGACGGAATAAGGTGGAAATCATACTTGATCCCATTAGCAAAAATAGTATGACCCGCATTATTTCCACCCTAATGAATTATTCATCAGTAAACTATGCTAATTATGAAAAGACTATACATATAGACATTACTTACGGCACAACGAGCACATATGTCTGCTTCTTGTGCTATAATGTCGACCAGTTTCCCTTTACCCTCATCGCCCCATTGCGAGCCTAGTACTACGGTAACGCCCTTGTCAGATAGGTTAGTGTTAGAAATCAAACTCATACCTCGCTGTTTGCACTAAAGCCTCGGTGCACCAGATTTAGATTTAATGATGTTAATCAGTACATATTACACACAGATCCTCATCATTCAATTATTTTAGTACAAAATAATGGTATCGAGATCGAAGATTGTATATGTTTTGTTGTGTTTGATACGTTTGGGTTGTTCTCTGCTGCCGGGTTATGTGCATCCAGACGAATTTTTTCAGTCGCCTGAAATAATGGCTGGTAAAACTTGCTATCTGAGTTTTCTTTCTCGTGTTTGATATTATTATGAAGTACACCATTTATGTATTATATTTAGGTGACGTTCTAGGATATGAGGTTTATCGACCGTGGGAGTTTAACGAACATCTACCTTCGCGTTCGATACTTGTACCGTTAGTACTTTCTTTTACCTTTCAGTTTGATAAATATTGGAAATTAATCCGATTTTTAACTAAATAGAGCTTTAACGACTGGATTACCCTTCCATTTACTTAAAATTGTGAACAAATGGTCTAGTAATTTCTCCCGGGAAGATAGTAAATTATTTCATTATTAATTCCACGAATTTTCTATAATAGTATCTTTAGATGATTTCATGTTAACAAAACTTCTTTAATAGATGTAATCAAGTCATCAACATTATTTATTACAGAGCGAACTGTCTTTTTTCTCCTTTCTTTTATTATAGGTGAATTATAGCTATTTTATATTATTATTAGCTTTACATTTTAAACAATTTACTAATAATATTAATAATAATCATTGCGCTAAAGATTATGTAACATATAATATTGCGTATCTGTACCAGAAAAATGGAATCACCACCAATGACCCAACTCAAGCATTATTTCTTGTCGCGTTTTCCTATGTATTGTTGATTTTTCATACACGGCCGTTTTCAAATGCAGTCGAATCTATTATTCTCGCGTTGTGTTTTTACGTTTACTTACATGGAACATTGTCAAAGGATTCTATCGCAAAGAAAAAAGATTCTGAAATCAAGGTATACCTCGTAACTTCTGCTTTATTTATTTACCGATCTCCTTGGATAATTAATTATATAACTATTGTTAGAATATAAATTTTCCTACCAACATGGCATTTATCCTGGGGTGTCTTGGTGCGCTCGGTTTGTTCACCCGAATTACTTTTATATTGTTTGCATTTCCTATTGGACTTGCGTTTCTTTATCGTACTTTTGTGATGCCTGAGGCCCGCTTGAACGCTTGGTATGTATGTATTCCCTACCAAATTTGTGATTTATTGCATATATATTTAATGTCGATCACCATCTCAAATTTTATTCTCAGAAGGAATGAAAAATTTAACCAATTGATCCCGGTTGGTATTGGCCTTGTTGTAATGAGTGGACTATGCGTATTAGCAGATTTAATTTATTTTGGCTCAATAAAAGTGACTGTTGTTAGAAAAGAATTGTTTAGCTTGGATTTTCTTGTTAGGATTCTGCAAAACCCTTCAGAATTTCTTAAGGTGAGTGTGAGTGTTAATCTTTTTGTTTATTGTATTTTTAGTAATTATTTTCTTTTTTATTTTTAGGGTAATGTCATCTTTACGCCAATCAACAATATCTTATATAATCTCGACGCGAACAATTTAGCAGAACATGGACTTCATCCGCGATACGTGCATGTCATTAATTATTTTATGCTTTTTGGACCACTGGGGATTTACAACCTTATCGATTTTTACGCGTTTCTAAAGAATTTTCGACAAGTTTCTTTGACGAAATCTGTCTCTGGTGCGTGCAGTTCAATTTTTTCAAATTAATAATTTAGTCCTTGACAACCACAATGACGCGAATTTGCGGTACTCGATTTATATATTCTGTAATTATTTAGTCGTGACTTTTAGTGGTGTCTGTGGCTTTATATTGTTATCGATTATGCCACATCAAGAAGCAAGATTTCTGTTGCCATTATTGTTGCCTGTAGTGATAAGCGCATCGTTGCATCGAAAGTTCTCTTCGGGTTTCTGGGTATGCTTTGCTGCTTTCCTTTACAAAAATTTTATGCATATATGTGTATCTATGTTATTATGTTTATACGGATACACATAAATTTTTAGATGTTTTATATCATCTTCAACCTGATAGCCGCGTTGTTTTTCGGTGGTTTGCATCAGGCTGGCATGGTCCCTATACTAGGAAGATTGCAACATCAAACAATGAGATTTCATAATTGTGTAAAAGATTCTAGTAGGCATATTATGTGTGAAGTCACAAATAAATTTGTCGAGCCAAGTAAGTTTGTACTTTTTGAAAGTTCATGAGTGTTCATAACGCAATAACTATCGAACATATACATAACGCAATAGGTTTCAACTCGACCGAAATCTTTCACACAAATATAATCTTTTATAAGACGTTTATGCCGCCACGACATTTACTAGGGTACCCGAGAGCTTGGCGAGGTAAATTTTTTGTTTATTAACCTTCAACATAAACTTGCCGCATTAATACTGTTCCCCAATCTTAGAGAGCAATGTACGAATCACAATTCACGATCTTGCTGGTGTCGCATTAGAACAACTTGAACAAGAACTTGAAGCGAAAATTGCCGTGAATTCCGATATACTAGATCAATACGATAGCCAAAAGATTGTTTTCCGAGAACGAGATGATATTTCCGGACATTATGAACGGTAAGTTTGCAAGGTTGTCATTTTTTCTATTCAATATTGAGGACGATATACTGGTTTTGTCACTAGCACCTTAATAGTCACGCCATCAACTACAATGCTCTCAGCAACTTTATTCGTATTCTCAAACACGTCAACAAACCACTCGCTAAAATACAAAGATAGGCAATGGCCTCACCTCAACACTGACCAAATAGATCGTGTGCTCGAAAATGGACTCTATTTGAATATTTACCAACTTGTGGCTTCTTAACAATATAATGATGGAATGATAATAATTTTTTGAATATTCAAATAGTATACATGTTATATAATCTAGTTTACAATGATTAAAAAATACAACTTTTCCGAATAATATATAATATATATATATTATACGTCGTCTAATGTGTATGATAATAAAATGTTTTATTATTATATTACAATAAATAAATAAACGGGAAACAGAAATTTCGTAAAGAATTTTCTATACAAGAATGAAGAAATTGTGTGTACCAAGAAAGTTAATTTTTGCCAACTTCACCGTTTTTGTAATCTTTCATGTATAATCCGACCGCCATCAAATCATCCTTCCCACCAGCTTTCTGCAAATACTTGTGCAAGACATCTCGATCCGCGTCAGGTAAAACGTCACATAATTTATCGAGTGCATTATCATCCACTTCAACCGCCAAATCCGCCTTAGCGTCATTTGCTTCTTCAATGGTAGTGACAAAGGAGGATGTTGTTGAATTCAACGCACTGAAATTAAAACGCGACGAGAACGAAGATACGGATTGGAAACTAAATCTTCGTTGTCTTTTCGGCGGCGTTGATGATGTAGTAGTTTGCGGTGATTTTGAGATTGAATGCAAAGAAGTTGACGAGCTGTTGAATAATGGTTCGTTTGCAATTGGTGGCATAAATGTTGTAGGTCGAGTGACTTTACTGAAACTTCCGCGACGATTTATGCCGGAAAGCGAGAGGAATGGAGAGGTCTTTACTCTTGGTGATGAAGGCGGAGAATTAAGACGTAACGATGATGTTTGAATTGATATGTCGGGTGAAGTTCGAGATGATTTAGATGATTTAGAAGACTTTGAAGAGCTTACGGTGAATGACGATGTGGGTGTAATCGATGGAGAATATACTGTGTTATCTAAAGATACAGAATTTGTGGTGATTTGACTTAGAGATTTTGACGAAGTCATTGGATTTGAATAAACTTTTGCGGTAATAGTAGAAGATGGTGTTGTGGATGCCGTAGATTTTGATGATGCCCGAGAAAGTGAATTTGATGATTTATCCCGACAGGATTTCAAACCTAAAAAAATCGAATATTAATTCAATCGTGAAAACTCAATAAAGCCAATTAAGAAAAATCCGGTTATCAATTAACATACTGTTATATAATGTTGAAGGTTCCTTTTTGATATTTAGACATAGCCATACTGCCAGTCCTGTTTCTTCTTGATTCAGCGACAAAGTTTTCTGAACTGTGTAATTACAAATCATAATCTTTATTAGCAAGAAAATAGCTTGATTGAATAAATGACATAGAAACTTTACCATATGAATTTATCCGTTGCTTCCGACTTTTCATATTTTTGATATCGCTCATATCAAATGCCACAGGTATTTTTCTATTTTTTATAGATTCTGCATCCACAGACGATGATTTCGAGTTCACATTTAAAGAGGATAATTCATCTAAATTCTGTTTTGAAGAGTTAACGCTATCTGTCAAAGATGTATTATCGAGAGATTTTTGATCAATAGACTTTGATTCGCTAAGAAGTTCATCAGGTGATTTATCTGTTATTGAAAGACCATCCATCGAGTTTTGAATCGAAGAAAGTTCATTGATAAGCTCTGGAATTGCGAAAGCATCATCCTGATTTTCTTCGGCATTTGAAGGAGAAACAGGTTCTTCAAATATTACTTTTGGAAAAGGAATATCCGTGTTAGTATCTGTGGGGAATGATACATCTAAACGTGTGGTAGATGGCTCCAATGAAGGCTCCTCATCAATCTCATTGATTTGTTCGAGTTTGTTAAGGCTTTTACTCGAATTCGATTCTTCTTCAAGTGCTATTGATTGTGTGGTGGATTGTTGTAAGTTTAAATTAGGTAAATCTAAGCTATTGGGAGTAGAATCTTGGGAAAGCAATATTTCTTTTAGACGATCAACGGGGTCAGGGGAACTTTTTCGTGGTGCTGTATTTGGAGGTTCGGGAGAAGATTCGTTTAAATCAACTTGTAATAAATCTTCATGCACTTCCACAAAATTTTCTTTTGGTAATTGACCATTTATGGATAATATTTCAAGTGAATTAGATTCTATTTGGTTGGAATTTGAAGGGACCGATGATGATAATTTAAGCTGATTTTGTAGTTTGTCGATTTGTTGATTTATATAATCATCGTCAAATGAAACTTTATTTTTCAGCTCTCGTGTTTTTGTTGACTTTTTATCATTCAGTAATCTTTCGTGTTCTCCATTAGAATCATTCAATAATCCTTCTTCGTGTTCCCCGTTAGAAATAACTGAGACAGAAAAATACTTTTCAATATTATTATTATCCTTATAATTTTGTAATTCTTCGTCGTCTGAATCGTCAAGAATTATTTCGGGAATATAACTTTGTTTTAGTGGCGACGAGACTCTCGTCATGAATGATGTAGAAGGTATAGTATCCGATATAGGTGTAGGCGGTTCAATAATAACAGATGTTGCCGTGGCACTACTTGTATTAGTATCGGTCATAGTACTGCCACTAATAATAGTATCGGTCGTAATACTACTACTAATAGCAGTATCGGTCCTAATACCATTACTAATAGTAGTAATCTGATGGTGAAGAACGTTTATTTCCATTTCTTTGGTTAATTTGTTATTATTATTTTCTTGAGATAAGAGAACATGATTATTTTCTTGAGATAAGAGAACATTATTATCGTCATGCGAAAGTTTTTTAATAATTTCTGCATTACTTGATCCGGTCTTTTTGATATCGTCGAGGTGGTTTGTGCTGCTATTAATGCCGTGATTAATGCTCTCGTTATTATTACTATTGGCAATGCTTTCGTGCGAAGCTGTTATTATGTTCGTTTTTTCATAACTAGATTGAAGTGAATCGTTGATTTCTGAAGTTTGCGAAAGTGCTATTGATTATTATTTATATAAGGCATATGCAATATAGAGGCGAGATTCAAGGTATAGAAAAACCAATTTATTTTTGTTAAACTCACATTATAAAATAACAGTAAACGAAAGTGTAAATAAATGAACTGACAATGTTATTAATGAAAGCCTAACAAATGTTCATTTGAGGGCAAAATTACCTTGAGCTACTAAAAAACAATGAGAAATAAATTACGACTGATTTCTTTTTATATAAAGAGAGCGGGAAAGAAAAAAGACAAATACACGCACAAATATATAAAAAAAGAGAAAGAAATAAAGAAATTTTGCAAGAGACTAAATTATACTCACGATTATTTTGTACCTCGACAATTGCCCTTTCAAGCTCTTGCAAATCTGCTAGAACTTGTAAATCTGCGAACGCCATTATATTATATGTGAGATCTTTTACGCGCGGTAGTGGTTGAGGCGTAGTGAGTAATTCGGCAAAAGAAAATAATACCCGCTGCTCGCGCCGTCGTGGTCCTCCAAAAATAATAGACCTGGAGAAAAACTAGCCAGAAGCTGCAAGATGAACATTGTATCCTTATGTATGCATAGTTGTTTATTTAAAGTCTACATGTGTTAATGATCTGCGGAATTTCAGCTTTTAATTTTTCAGTTCAAATGGAATCGATTAAAAAAGACATTTCTACTAGCAAGCATGAAGAACTCATAAAACACATTTCTGCTGGCAAGTATGAAGAAGTCATAAAAATTTCCGAGGACTTGGAGTATACTGTAAGAATTTCATTTAACTCATTTAGTGGCATTTTCCTTTTAATTTAATCTACATTTTTCATATTCGTTCTGTAGCTGGCCCTTGCACCAAACAGTGAAATTCCAATTGAAGAAGTTTACGCTCCTTATCTTGCAGCTTACTTAATTCTTAATCAACTGTAATTTTGTTTATTTTACCTGTGTATTGACGCATTAACACTCTAAGTTTTAACGCATTGCTCTTCCAAAAATAGACCTGCCGCAAAATTTCTTTGGAAGCGCATTCCGGAACGGCAAAAAACAGATGAAATTCGTGCCATTTGGAATGTAGGCACAGCACTATGGAATCGTGAATTCGAGAATGTGTATGGACTCATTGAGGGAAAGCCATGGAGTTCGTTGGTTGCGCCATTGATGACTAAATTAGCTGGTATTGAATGATTGTCTCTTTCGAGATGATAAAGTTTAGTTGAGCGTGAATAATAGAGACTAATAATAGTTTTTCTGATATCAGAATTAGTACGCGAACGCGTTCTTGATCTATTGTCCGAAGCTTATTCATCAATTGCCATTGATAAAGCAGCTCAAAGGCTTGGGTTGCCGCAAGAACAACTAATACAAGGTAAGTAACTCGTTAAAGGAGTTTAATGTCTGATTCATAGATTCGCAGAAAAAATTTATGGGTAATTCGAATATCTAGTCTTGACCAATCGTGGTTGGGTGCTCGATGCCGCAACAAAGACCCTTCAGCCAAAAACACACAGTAGGTTTCTTGTTTGGATATTCAGTGTAGTTGTTCATTCATTTTACGCGTTCTCATACATCTTGTTTTTTTATTCGTTTTTATAGAAACTGAAATCGTGCAAAATACCTCTTTTACTAATTTCTCACGGCTCACAGACTTGGTGATCCAATTGGAAAAGTCGTAGCAAGAAACAATTATTATTAAAAAAGGAATTTAAAGCAAGACATAAAGTGCTAATTTTATAATGCTTTGCAATGTAGGAAATTAATAATGAAATTGGATTACAAGATAATAATCTTCTAATTCAAAATAAAACCAATAAATTAAAATAAAATTGTTAAATTTCTGAAAGTATTAGAATTAATCAAGTACATTTTGTTCATTGTTAAAAATATTATTCAAAGTATTTTTAATATTTGCTTTGTATGTCTAATAATTAGATAAGAATTGTTATCAGTTTAATTGGATTTCAGATTAATTAAAGATATTTATAATATTCAAAGAATATTTAAAGAAATTTATAATAATTTGAAGATAATACACTGACCTACGATAAATCACCGTGCATATAAAAATTTTGATAGTAAAATCTAGTAAAAATTGAAATTTTCGCTCTGTAAAGAAGATTTTATTTTAATTAATAAATATTTTTTGTTTTCATATCCAA